AACTTTGAAAATGGATGAGATTGATGGAATGGTTCTTTAAATGGATTATTTGATTAGTTTTCAGTGCTTTCGAGATATTTTGATAGAATATGTGGATACCTATATACGTACATTCGCACGCTATTTTAGAGATACTAGATTTTATAACTATTTTTTCCGATGAATAATAAAGGGAAAGAAATAAAGTATGCAATAAGTCCTCTTTATATATTCGCGCAGTATAAGCTTTTCTACTAAATATAAAACTTTTTAATTTTTCTGTGTGGGCGTATCCATTGATAAAAGTAATATTTTACTAAGAAGAGAATACTTTTCTTCTTTTACGATACATAAAACGCTGAACGACTTTAAAGTAAAAATCAAGTAAACAGTGATTTTTCAAGTTTTTATCGCAATACTTTAGTACTGTTAGAATTGCTAACAAAGTTATTATACACTGATATCATCATATAAACTGTCGATTTTCTTTAACGAAAGGAAGGAAAAAAAAGAGAAAGTCAAATTCAATTGGACTGTTAATCTTGTCACAATTAACTAAAGTGCTAATTATGCCGATGACATCGGCGAAAAGGGAAACTCGCGCGTCACGAGATAGGCAGAAACAGGGAGAGTACGGTTAATGGTTGAATACTGAGTTTTAACGGTGAAACGGGGTGAGAGATATTTACGTGGGAGCCATATGGTTGAGCAAGGCAAAACAGTTCTTAAAATGACGCTCGTAAATTCCGCTAAACGCGCTCGTAGAAATTTATATTCTACCCAGCCGTAAGGGTGGGACGACCTGGCCGTCGTCCTTCGGGGTGCATACGCGCGGTTATCCCGGTATGCACCACTAATATACGCGCGAACTCTGGCAAGGCAACCCTTCCTCCCCGTATCGGTCATCCCGTCCCTTCCGCGCGTAACGGGAAATACTTTTAACAATTAATTTCATTGCAGGCTACCGCCTAGTTTTTCAACTTAGAAAAACTGTCGCGTAAATTCAACGAAGTTTTAACTCGTTACGTTGAGATTTAATTAGTCACCTCACGTACCTGCTTTGCATATTTCCGTTTACGTTCGGGTAAAGATTTAACGTAAAAAATATCGCCTGGAAGATACGCTCTTACCCGACCGTATAACCCGTCGGAGATGATTTTCTGATTACGCCCGGCCGTGCAATCTCCGCACGTCGCAATCGTCCGCGCGATTTTCCGCGAGACGCTTCGACGTGGAACGGGCATCATTATTTTATCGCGTAATTACCTCCCGCGGCCGGTATATAACGATAAATATTTCACTCTGCGGAAAGTTGAAGCACGGTCGCCGTTCTGCGCGCGTGGCGCGAGTGACCAGGGGATCTATAAACATTCTACGGGATTTATAAGCGTTTCACTTCCCCCAGGGGTAGGGGGGCGAGGGGGGGAGAGAGTGAGTCGTTTGAATATTGCAAAACGCTAAGTGTAGGAATCTGTATAACGAGACTCGCACGCGCGTCCACCGCCCGTCCGCTCGATTTTACTTTGCCGCACGTCCGCCGGTGGCTTTGTGCAACGCAACGCGCTCGACTTGCGGCACGGATAAAGAAACGTCCACTGTTGACCTCGTAAAGCAGAAAGCATGAATTATTAATGAAAGGCCGCAACGCACGGCGGGTGGTAGAGCGATGCAGCGGCGCGTACCCTGTTTAAATGGTATAGAATTAATGGGCAATCGAGAGAGAGAGAGAGAGAGAGAGAGAGAGAGAGAGAAGTATATGTGTGTGTATGTGTTTCTCGTAACCTCTGCTTTGGAGAAAATTAACCCGAAGACTTGCAATTGATTTTAATTTCTTTTTATTGAATATCGTGAGCACTTTTTTGCACTAGAATGGAAAATGGAAACTGACGAGACCAATCGCCACGCGAAAAAAACAGAAAAGAGGAAAGAAAAGACGGGGAAAAAGGTGAAACTTCATCTCACGATATAATTAATCTCTTGTCTAAAATCATAAAGCTCATAAGCTTTAAATCACGATGAAAGATAGATTCCGGTCATTTATATCGATCTCTGCGTGTACGCGACACGAAGAGTTTAGGTAAGACGCAAAAGTTTCGCGTAAATAGATTAATAAGTGATATAATATCAAGAAAAATACTCGAGGAAACGAATGTGTCGGTCGATTATATTACAAAAAGGTCAAAACTTACGAAGAGAAATATTTTCCCGTGGCAAGGAGAGAGTCGATTCGCTCCGGATCTTGTTTGTTTCACGTACTCTTCCGCTTGAACAAAGAAAAACCCGATAGCCACTCAAGACACGCGTAATGTACTCTCCCCTCCCCTTCCCCCCCCGATCTCTTTTTCGTTTACCAACCGGAAACGCTATGTGAAATTAATAATTCGCGAACGACGGCTTCATAGTAAATCTCATTTATTCCGTTTCCACGCCTTTGAATTCTCCCTCCGTTATATCATAGCGCGGAAATGCAAGCGGCTACGCGCAAAGCACGCGGATTGCAAACGAGATAACATTATATGTATAAAAAAAAAGGAAATCTAATTTATTCAAGAGTCTAATATAACGAGTTCTTATTAATTATAAGATGACTCTGGCCCGTAGCTTTTCATAACGGGGAAATAATAAGCGTGAGTAATGCCTGTATAATGCTCGTCGCGAGCAGCTTTTGTGCGAGCCATTGACGTTAATTATATTTTGTTTTTAAATATATACTTATTTCTTACATATTTACACGAAGTAGCTTGTATATGATTACTGTAAAGAGAGTACAATCCATGATAAATCCATGATCTCATGTATGCGTCTCTCTTTCTCCCTCTCCCTCCCTCCCCTCCCCCTCTCTTTCTGCGATAGAATTAATTTAATATTTAAGTATCAGGATAATTTAATATTATTGAGATTATCATCAAATGATAATAGGGCTGACATAAATTATCGTATAGACGAGTGCATGGTCAATCACGCAAAAGTCATCATGTCAGTTGAAAATAAATTGGGCACGTATTAATTGCGCGGACAAGTGCGCATTTAATCATATAAAAATCGCACACAGGCTAATGCGGCGAAATAAACGGTGAATTAAAGTGTCTCGTTATATTATATAACTTTTCTGTCATATCGAGCATCATATCGAGCCATATTGAGCAAATACAAATTGCGCGGACAAGCGCGCATTTAATTACGTTAAAATCACGTAAATTAACGCGACTGATACGTAAATTAGCGACGCTAAATATACAACGTTACACAACTCTCTCGCTCCCTCTCTCTGTCCCTCTGTCCCACTGGTTGGCGCGCATTCAATACTTAATATCGAGCCGGGGGCGCCATTGTGCGGTGGGTAGTCGGTGTAATTCATGTAAATCGAGTACCGCGGGGAGAACTTCTGCGTTCGAAATTTTTCTCGGCGCGGGTGTCACGGCGTGCGGTAACGGCCGACATAAACAGCGGGAGTGCAGCCGCGGCGGCGACGGCGGCGACGGCGGCGGCGGCGGCGGCGGGTAGAAAGGTCGCGGCAGAGAGCGAGGTCAGAAAAGGATGACGACTCCATCCTGAGAGAGGTTGGAGGTCCCTGCTCTCATTTATGATCTTATGCAACGTGCGCGCAATGTTATATTTCGCCGCGCCGCACGCCGGTGCATATTAAACGCCAGTGCCTTATCCGATGCGGCCGGCGGCGCGGCGCGGCGCGGCGCGATGCTCGCGGCGTCACCGACGCCGCGCCGTTCCGTGGCGCAGCAGCGCAGAGCGTCTCTCGTGATCGGTGGTGCTTCCTTCTTCGCGCGAATAACTTCGCGCGAGAAGAGTCGCGCGATGGTATAGAGGGAATACCCTCTCCCGGTTATATTCAACGAGTACGTCACGTTTACGACACGAGTGCCTGCAGGATGTTACGTTAATATTTAACGGGCAAAACTGTAGATGAAGTTTAAGAACTTGTAAACCGAATATCATTTTTATTTAGCTGCGAATTGAGTTGTAATGCCATATCGCGTGACTTATCATCTTCTTTTTTTTATTTTTTTTTTTTGCTTGCAAACGACAAGAGTCCTGCAGTTGATTTTTCTCGTAATAAAAATGTGGCAAAACTATTTCGCGATCGATTCTTCCGTAATGAAAGCTGGATCCGAGGCTTAATTACCAAACCGTCAAAGCGGATGAAAACCAATCAGCTGAGGCATGCCTTCGTGATTACGTGTGTCTTGCACATCGTACGAAAAAAGTATGATTATACACCGTGCTGGTTTATAATCACATAAATTAGATCCACTATTAGTTTGCGCAAAAATACGAAGCTTTAACAATCCACATTAAATATCTTAATTTAATTTCGTCCAAATATTATTTGTTATAATATTATTTTGAATCAATTTGAACATCTGGAAAATATAATTTGTTGTCCATGCTGAGAATCGATATAATTATAAATTTACTTTTATTGTACTTTTTTTTTGTACTTTACATAATTATAGCCAATATACATTTTTACACGCAGCAATTTAATATATTTGAAAGAGAGGAATCTAACACGACTAGAGCTGTCGTCACGATGAACGGAACACTGCGAGCGTTTCTATTCCGTGAGAAAGAAGATTGCTTCGGAAATATGGATACCATAAGTATTCGTATATGGGTTGTTATATACGTTTGCATCTACGTGTCGATACCGATGCAAAACGCCCATAAGAAATATCAACTACGTGACTCCAACTTTCGGCAAAATAAATTTCAGCTTAAGGAACTGGAGGCGAGTTATAGCGTTGCGTTGTAAACGTGTCGCGCCCCCCCCCCCCGCGCGTACGTAGGTACAGCTACTGTAACTACTTCAAAGTAATGTCTTTCCTAAGTAGTTGGCGCATTGTGTGCGCAAGCTACATTCGTTTGGTTGATAATCGCGAAGAACATTTACCCGCGGCGAAAATTGTCGACGAGCGTTCGACGAGCTTCTACGGCCGCACGAATTGCCGCCAACACAGCAGTAGCAGCAGCGTTGTGAAATGATAAAAATTTCTGCCTTTCAGATGTGCCTGATCCACCGGAACGGCCACTCGTCATAAGTTACACGTCCAAAGCCGTGAATATATCGTGGGCACCTGGTGTTAATTCCCACAACACTCCAATTTCGCAGTACGTCATCTACACCCGGTAAGTCCGATAAATATTGACTCGCGAAAAAAGTGCCCTTGCGCGCTCAAGCCAACTCGCCGATCTGACGGGGCGTTCTAAATTTACTCAGATAACTCCGATATCGCAAATATTATATTAAAAAGCGTAGTTTCTTGTAAAAAAAAAAAAAAAAGAAAAACGGAGAGAGAGAGTAAGGAAATTGATGTGGCAAATTGACGTACCTTTTAGCGATGTTGTCACGCCGTCGCGAGCTTATACACACAGAGATGCAAAGATTAAAGTGAAAAATTAACTCAATCGATTTAACTAGCGAGTCTCTCCCCCCCCCCATCCCCCTAATGCCATTTAAGAGTTACGTCGTGACGTCAGTGAAACTTTACTGTTGATTTCCACGACGTGCCACTGTCGCTTTCTCGCAGAAGTTGAGCAAATTGCTGCGCCGAAGTGAATTAATGTCGCTTTTTTTTCCCGGGGAAAAAACATTTTTTAATAGGAAAAAAATCGGAGCGCCCGCGGGATACGCTCGGAAATAGCTCGGTTCTACGCTCGAGTAGATCTCACCCCGATTATCTTACGGCGTGGTCTCTTTCTCTCTCTCTCTCTCTCTCTCTCTCTCTCTCTCTCTCTCTCTCTCTCTCGTGGTCCTCACTCGCGACTGAAGGTGGAAGAAGAAACGGATAAAATAAAAGGAATTACCGAGGATAAGAACCGCGGTGTCGATAAGCACCCTTTGTTCTCTGCCGCATCTCTCGGTTCCGTTATCTCTTCCCCCCTTCCCGCTCCTCCTGCTCTCTCTCTCTCTCCCCTCCCCCCCTCCTAACTCGTTCCGCTGGGTCCCTTGACCCCGCGACCGACTTCCACGTTTTCCCATCGCCCAGGACATCTCCTTTTCGTTTTTCCCACGAATTTTCCCTTCGATGCCCGCCGGTAAAGCCAAACTAACCGTGCGTTGCAATATATACGTCGTATTAGAATAAAAAAAGATGTAAAAATGCCGGGGATAGCGCATAAAACGGGAAAAATATTTTTGTACCATTGTGTGGTATATAAACAATATAATATATACAGCGAAAACTGTACACACGAATATGTACTCGCCTGCGTTACGTTCTGCAAAATTGCCCCGAATATGGAAATCGCGAATATGAGAAAGGGGAATATATAGAAAGATTATGGTTGGATAAAAAAAATACGCAAAACGCCGAAATAGAGAGCACCGATTTCCGATTTTTTAATATCTTTTTCTCTGACTTCATCTTAAGTAGAAATTTTGATCCTTAAGATCGTATGTCTGTAGGTGACAAATATTCCTTGCGAGGAAGATGCGTAATTTTCTATCGAAATGAGACAAAAGTATGAAAAGTCACTTCCCTTTTCATCCGTTTATTGCATTCGTTAAATCCTGCGAGAGTAAATTTCTCGAATCCGAGAAAAGATTGTCGACATCGAATATAGGATGCATGAATAAAGAATGCGCGCGAATGGTACGTGATTCTATTTCGATGCCTGCACAAATTGAAGACAAACTAACCGCTATTAGTTTCTAACTATACCCACTTCACTCACAATCATTTATCAAAATTGTGTTAATCCTTTTCGCTCAAAGAACATTTCGAGAGACGGCTGAACCTCTCATTTTATGGCATTATCTTCCTGACAAAAATCCATTGTCACTCCCTTCACGGAGAGTTTGGCAAGTTTTCAGCGATTTAAAAGATTCAGTCGATGATATTACTCTTACGTACGTAATAACGTGAAGCCTAGCAAAATTGCTTTCCACCGGCCGTTAGCGATGGGTATTTGTGAGCCTCGGCTCGGCCAGCTGCGAGCACTCCGGCGTTTCGATCCGGTCGCGTACCGAAAGTGTTAATTTGCGCGATGCGACCCGTGGTCGTCATCGAGCTCGTCGCGTTTCGATTTCGATGTAGCGGCAAGTTAATTTGAGTGATGCGCCATACGATGCACTTTGGCCCGAACCTTCGCTCTCTATATCTTTGAAGAGACGATAAACAACAAAAACAAAAAAAGAGAAGAAATAAAAAAACTGTCGGTACAAGTTTTATTATTAATTAAACCCTCACATCGCCGGACGTTCATTTCGCTACGCAACATCGCGGGAGCATCGCGGTTCTCTCGTTCTCTGGAAGGTGAACGCTCGCACGAGAGACTACGAGCGGATGGAATTCTTAATCAAGTTTCCATTTTCTTTCCTTTTTTTTCCACCCCCTATGTCTCGACCGCCCGGCCGCCGCCGCCGCCGCCGCCACCGCCCCGCGCTTTCTTCCCTTTCTTCCGGTCGCGAAGCAGACAAAACCCCGAGAATAGAAGTTGTAGGAAATAATATATCAGTCGGTGTCGTTATGGTCGCCGAATATTGAAGTTTCACCCCCGCGAACCATTTCGCCTTGCTGCTCGGGCTGGCAGGCCCTTTCAGAAAACTATCGTAATACCTCATAGAACTTGGAAAATATTAGTTTTATAATAAAGTTCGGTCGAACTTCGTTCAGCCGCGAAAGTGGGAGGAAGAGAGAGAACGTTGGGAAGAAAGGGAGAAGGTGCGCACACCGGCGGACAGGGGCTCCCTCCGCGCAGTCCGTTCCGTTCGAAGATTATTAATCTTCGCGGAAATCAACCGCCGTTTTGACGAGGTCCTCCTTGCAATGGCATCTCGCGCCGATCTTCCTGGCTGGAAATGACGTCGACGGAACCGGCCAACGCCTTTCTGCCCGACGATCGTAATCGCGACGGTCGGCGTGTCTCACGAATCCTTCCGGCACGAACTACATCACGTGCGTCGAAAAAATGCGAATTATTGTCACGTTAGAATTCGCGGACGCGCGGATATGTATGTGACACGTCCTCCATTCTTTATGGCACACGGAAAGCATTGTAGAATACACGTAACTTACGTAACGGAAATAACGGCGGCGCGCATCCCACTTTTTGGTATGTAACCTCTTCTATACGGCAATTTAGTAACCATTTGCCACATGTGTTCGGATTAAAAAACATTTGTGAAGCCTAAATGTGTACACGTTATACACGGCCAAACACGTTTTCAATTTGCCACTGCAACGTGCATCCCGTGCAAACGGCGCGGCCACCGCGTATTCGGACAACATCCGGGCGCAACGCGTCGACTCTTCTCTCTCTCTCTCTCTCTCTCTCTCTTTCTCCTCTCCTCTTCCCTCTCCTCACTCTTCCCCTCCCCTCGGCACCACGTCGCCGATCATTTATCTCCGTAATATCAGAAAAGTGGCGAGGAATAAATGCCGCGACCGCGTTTATTAGACGGGACGGACTATCGATCTTAGTGTGTTAGGTGTCCCCCGTGGGCGGCCGATCAATTTCCCGGGATTCCTCCGCTTAATCTTCCCACGTTTTGTTAAACGTATTAAAATGGAATTCCAATTTCGCGCAAGCCCACCGACCGACATCGAGGACTTGCGCGCGAGCGTGCTCGGCTGTACGGCTCGGTGATCGTGCACGATCCGCGAGTTTTAATTACTTTTGTCTCGCGCCGCACTCATGTGCATGGAGCTCGGAGCGACGCTTCTCGCGGCCCGGTTTTCCGGCTAGGATCGACTTTCAGTCTTGCGACGAGAGGACGAGGGAGAAGGGAAGGGAGGGGATAAATCGGGGGAGGCCTTTTCGACTTTTCACGAGCGGCGGCCGGCGCGCCAAGCTGCAGGCACTCAACGCAAGCCATTTAACGAGCGTTAAATGAGTATTTCATTGCACGTCGCGCGAATAATAGTCCGGGAAACGCTTTAGTTTTTTACCGGACACTTTCATTAAATTCAACGATTAAATTCGATGTAGTGTATATATACCTGCAGAGAGCACCGTCTCGCGACAACATCGTTACGTCGCGCGCGCGGGCGCGCGCTCGCGCTCGCGGATGTTGTGTGTTTTGCATATACATAAAAGTTTCAGATTTCCCAATAGGGAAAAAGCTGAAAGGCTAATTTTCACGGAGGGAAAAATGTCGTTTTTCGTGGCTCTTCAAAGAGACTCTTGCCAGACTTATTTCCAATTTCATAAGCTGCAACTATCTTGCAAGAAATTTTTCAGAGGGTAGGAAACAGATGTGTAATATATATATGCGCTCTCGGAAATCTCGGAAATATTGCGTTACTGATGGTAGCTTTATACGTTCGCCCCGACGGACGGCCCGGGAGATAGATGCCCGTCGAAAAATCCCGCCTGAATTAATAACGGTTCTAAAAATCCTAACTCTCGGTGAATAATACATTAATGCGCGCAATAAATATCGTCGATGCTTATTTAAGAGACCCGTACACGTCCTTTCTCCCTTCCCTCCTCATCACTCCTCTGCCGCCTTTTCCCCCTCGCGGGGGATATTGGAGCAAAGCTAACGGCGTAACGTTATCTCTTTCCGCCAAAGACCGCGGATTAAACGCGGCGTATCAGCCCGCGGGAGTAGTCGGTCCGTGAAAGTCTGGAATAAGTGAGGAGGATTAATTAAGACCAGCGCAAACGCGACCCAACATAATCGGCCCGACGTTAGCTCTGTGCCTTAATTCCGGGGCCGTAAACTGTTCTTCAGCAGCGTCGTGAAAGGTAATGCGAGATACGTGACGTCGTTGATCACGCCGTCGAAACGCCGCTGTAGTATAGCTCTGGACCTCGTCTCACGCTCTCTCTTTCCCTCTCTCTCTCTCTCTCTCTCTCTCTCACCCCCAATTCCGCTCTCAGCCATTACGAGGCGAATTTTGCAGCTGACGCTGGATTAAGAACTCGAACGTATGAAAAACTCCTTGCACTTACCGAATATATAATTTCGACGTTGACCCAGGCCGCGTTTACGAGATCACGTATATATGCTTGGATAACGGATGCCCGGATTAATTCATAACCCGTACTTCAGCCTCTCCCCCTCTCGCTACTTGATTAGTTTTCCGATAAACGATTAATCCCGGTCGCGAGTGATATACGTATCACGATTACCGACATTCGAAACCGCGTGCTCCTAATAAAATCTTCTTTCATGAAAA